TTCCGTCGGGAATCCTTAATCATAGGTAATAGTAGGATAATCGGAGCCATGCATAGATAAGGGTAGTTGAGTCTGCCTGTTTATTGAATCTGCGTGCGAGTGCCATGCCTCCTGCAAGAGGCTCCGATTGTCTTACCATTACCTATGATTAAGGATTCCCGACGGAATCCGAAACGTCAGGAAGATAAAACTCTTGTTCCAGTAGTCGCAGCTTCTTCTTCTGAACTGTTTCCCGGAACTCGCATATTCACTTCTATTGACAATATGGGTAGTTTTCAGTGTATAATATTGCCACACGGCTCTATGAAAAGACACTTGAATTACTATATAAGGATAGGTTGGACAATCATTATGCTGTCCCGTGGACAGCATTTTGATCTATTTGAAAGTTCTGCAACGTTGCTGTGGTAGTATTCGCGATAAAAAACGTACCTATATTTTAGGAGGTTTTCATCGTATTTTACTGCCCCTGTCATCCCAAAAGACGCAGAAAGAAAACAACGGACCGAAACAGGGCTGTAGGATCTGATTTACTGCGTATTGTAGGCTGGACAATTCGGAAAAATCGCAAACGGGAACTTTAGAATCTGCATTAGTACTGCAGAGGAAAGATAATAACCAACTGCAAACCACCTGCTTGTGTCATCCAAATATAATTATGTGACGTGACGAAAACTGCTGTTATGGGCAGCCAATTTTCTAAAGTCGGTAACTGGGTGGCAGTTCTTGGAATGCAGGCTGATAACACTCGAGGGTGACATCATCTGGCTAACTAGATCTGCGAAACGGGAAATCTGGACTGTCGCTGCAACCACCATCCTCATACACGTTTTTTTACTGGCAAATGAAATTGACATTTTCATTTAAATAACTCGCTTTAGAAGACTGTGAGTCACAAGGAAGATGAAGAGGCAGACGAAAAAGCGGAGGATAGGGAAGAAAAAGAGGGAGGTCTGTCGCGTGTCCACGTCAAAATTGTCAGATAAGCAGACACTACTGCTGGCGTTCGGCCGTATCCTCAAAAACGTCCAGTAGCACAGGTCAGAATAACTGGTTGCATTCCCGTTCTACTTAAAGACTCATGGAAGCCGACCAGCTCAAATGCTCCGGCGTTTGCCAAGTCCTGGAGTCGTATATTGTAGGCGGTGGTGGTTGTGAAATCCTACCGTGAAGTTAGCATTATGCAAAGCCGGGTAAGTTTATACCAGGTTAACAAGGAATCTAGCAAAATAAGGCGATTAATAATGACAGTCTATGTATCTGGTAAACATTAAGTAGGAGCCCCAACAAATACCCATCTCAGGTGCCAGAGAATGGGCATACGAAACTCCTAAGAAGACGTCTTTACCAAGTCGTGTCACGAACCCTCCCAGCAGCGAAAGTTTCGGTGTTATTCTCAACCAGCCCAGTCCTGCACGGCGAAGGTAGGTAAAGGCTGCCAGCACAGACCATTTCCATGTGCACCTAGTCATTTACTTGCTCCTGTGGAGCAGGTTATATCGGTCACACGAGTTGGCGCCTGTCCAAAGGAATACGGGAACACCTCCGGCATGGCTGAGCAGAGGTGAAGACAAGAGTATCAACAGCGCCATTCTCACCCACATGGTTGACTCTCGACACCGTGTGGACCCCAACGAAGAGTTAAAAGTGATTTACAAGGTCCCACCAAACTACCCAAAGTCCCTGGGCCAACCTGTGCTAGCAACAGCAGGCGCAACCGCGATCCGGGTGAGGAAGTTGGTTTTGAGCGCGCAAAAGAACCCCTTGAAAGCTCCGAGCTTGGCATGGCCAACGGTCGCATAACTGCCTGCATTTTCCGCGTCTTCTCTTTCCCTTCCCACCCTCCCCTTGTCCGACTTCAACAAACCCTTATTGCCGCATAACCAGCCACACATTATCAACCCCCCCCCAATTCCCATGGCCAATTTGCCTGTAAGGCTGAACGTAATTGCCCGCATGATTACCTTGTTATTTTTAACCCCTTTCCATATAAATGTAATAGCCCGATGAGAATTAATCGAAAGCTTACGTATGCTCGCAAACTACTCCTCTGAATACGAAAATTAGTTTGAAATGCTCACCGAAGCCTCAGGACAGTGATGTTCTGGACGGAAGTTAGCCTAGAGTAGGGACCACTGGCGCGCATCGACCTCCCTATCTGTTTATACTTGCGGGGCGCCAATGACAACACTGGCAAAAGACAGTCGGACATGCATTGTGCTGTGATATTGTCAATGTGTTCGTTCTGTTTGACTGTATTCGTAAGACTTAAAACTAAGAGGGTAGGGCATAGTAACGTTTGCCGTCCAGAGCTCAGTTATTTCAACAGACAGAGACACACCAACAGGTTTCGAAATGTATTCAGTGGACGGCAGTTGGAACTTATGTTTGGATAAGGAATAAGAGTTGGCGAGCACCGGATCAATTGATTTATTGCTTGAGCTTTCGAAATCTTACAGGAGTCCATCTTCAGAGGTAAGAAGCGGCAACCAAATAGGGGGTAGGTATAGTGAGCATAGACTAATCAACAGTCAAAGGGTATCAAGTTGTCAGAATGGCGTATGCCCATTTTAATTACCCTCCTTTCGGTTGCTGCTTCTTATCTCTGAGGATGGACTCCTGTAAGTGTTTGAAAGCTCAGGGCAATAAACTAATTGATCCGGTGCTCGACAAGTCTTCTTCCTTATCCATGCAATTACCTGGAACGCGATCGTTTACATTCATTCGGGCACTTATATTTTTGGTAGGACGTAGGCAAGCCATTTGACAATGGGCTCCAGCTCGGTGACTGGACAATAATTTTCCGCCCAT